GAGTGGCCGCTTGAGGCAGGCTGCAGAAGCGAGTCAAATCTGTATCTCCCCATGTTAAAATGCCCAACTTTACAGCAGAAAAAAACATGTTTACAGCCTGGAGCAAAAAGTGGCGTTGGTCTATTGAGCTCATTTGTCCCTTCATGACGACTGTGAGGGGGGTGAATTTTTTTACAACTCATCTGTTTAAATTATATTTAAGCCTTAAAGTTCTGCATAATTAAGGGCGTGGCCACTTGAGTGACAGGTGGATTCTTGCTGCCGCTTTCACTGCTAGTCGAATGTCTGCTGTCTGTTAGAGTCACCCTCAGCTGTGTTTGTGCTTCTTCCGGGATTATTTCATACAATTTAATACATGTATTATACCTTCGCCCGTGCATGCCGTTGGATTCCGTCGTGTTGAGTATGGAGAGAATAACCAGCGCTGTGTTTCCAGCTGTTTCCCTCACATGGACTAATGGATGTCTGATGATTTCAGTGCATTCTCTCAGATGCACACCCTTGAATGAGCGCGGATTTCTAGTTCATTTACTTGGAGTTCTGAGGTAATATCTTTGGTTTGACCCATCTGAGGAGCTGGCGGCCAAAATCAGATTGTATAAATGGACTGAATAAAGCTCTTTACGAACTTGACGTGAGATGCCGACTGACATGTGCTTGCCTTGAATCACTGTCACATCACATGCACAAGCTTAGAGCAGTATTGTAAGTAATTAATACATTTTTAACTAGCAGAATAATACTGCATCACGATGCACATAGTTGACTGCTTGATTGTTGTGAGAAATGTGTGTGATCTGTGTTATGTACTTGTATACATGGTCTTATATTGCCCCTTGTGAGATTAATAAAGTTGATAAAAAAGTAAAGTAAATAGTCTCACTTTTAGTTACGTCTTAACTATTATAATATTTCGAAGGGCAAAACATGAAATTTAACCATTGGCTTTACTTTTTTAATCAGCTGTCAATTCAGCGCGAGGGCAGCATAGCATTAGCACCTCAGCTCCACCCGCGTCCCGCCTCTTTGCCCATTTTAATTTATCCGGTAGTGACGAGAAGTGACGCACTGCCAAGATGGCGACGGCCGGCCCCGCCCACTTTAGGCCTCAAAAACGCTCTTCAGAAACCTATGGGTGACGTCACGGACACTACGTCCATATTTTTTACAGTCTATGCTTTTGGGTTAGACTTACCTGCTCTGGCTTACCTTACAAAGGGTTGGGTTTGGCTTACCTTACAAAGAACTAAAGACCAACAACAACATTTTCCAAACAGAAATGTTTCATTTCAAATTACAAATTACAGTAGGACTAGCAAGAACAGGAATGTAGCATACACAAAAAGTCCTGTAAAATTAAACGAATAAATGGGCCTAATAATATGAATAAAAACTATATAAACAAAAATATATATAAAAGTTTGAAAAGTAAATTTACTATAGGCCAGAATTTTGATAACTGAACTTTTGCCCAACGCACACGATAAAAATGTAAATGGACTTATAACCATTGTACACACAAACTGCTGTAAAATTAAACGAATAAATGGGCCTAATAATATAACTAAAATAAAAATATGAACAAAAACGTAAAAAAAAAATATGCCTACATAAATGTTTAAAAGTATGCTAATTAATTATTAGGCCAGATTTTGATCATCTGTACAAAAAAAAAGAAAAAAAAAAACACTGTAAAATTAAACAAATCAATGGGCCTAATTATATATAAAAATCATAAATTTTGGTAAATTAACTATTAGGCCACCAGACGCCTATCTAACTGAACATTTGCGCAGAAAGCACGTGGATGACAATTTAAATTGTCTCAAACTTAAAAAAAAAAGAAAATTGCTTTCGTTATCTAGCCTACAGTTCTTTTGAGTTCACCATCAAGAACACGAGTTTGGACAATGTCTGAGGCTTCAGACACATGCGGTGGTTTCTTGAAAGCAGGCCAGCAGCGGAGAAAACCCTCTCTGTGCTCGCAGACTCGCTTGGGGATGCTGAATACAATGCAAGCAACAACTTTAGTCAGGCGGGGAAAAGACGTGGAGTTTTCTCTTGGTGTGAGCGGAGTGGGAAATAGGGCGTTCATGTTTTCCGTCTATTTGAAAGTTATTCTAATAAACATGTTGCATTCTATATGGCCTGATTATGTCATTTTTTAAGTTACATAGCCTGCCTCCAGTTTTCCTCAACTTGACTAATTAAGAGGCGATATTTGACCGGCATATCATCAAAATGTCCGTTAAACTAAACCTCTGCCGGTCACTTTTTGACCGGCACCATTTTTTCTAGTGGAAACTCTGTTCTAGCTGGCTATGTACAGGCCGCCATGCTACGGTTTCGTAGAATTCTTAAAGAGTCTGTTTGTATAGGTTGCACTGAAATTACAGTCATTACGTTCCTGTGTATATTGTTTGAATCACGGTGGTTGGCCAGATATTGTGGTTTGCGGTAGGTGGTATGCCATACTGAACCGTTTGCCACTGAAACTGCTTTATAAAGCACCAGTGGTGCTCGACAGCCATTATCAAACGGTTTGGCGCGTATGGTTAGGTTGCGCATGATCGTGGTTAGGTCTCTGTAGGGGTCAGTAAACTGGGCTGAGTTGAGTGGGGGACGGAGGGGGGTGACTCTGGGACGCCAGGGTCACTGTCGAGCCCTCTTGAGGTGTCGTGGGCTAGTCGACGAAACACTGAGGACGGAAGGTGCCCACTTGAAGACCCTAGAGATGTCCCCTACTCGGCTCAATCCAGACAGTTGTCGTGGTGGTCCACTAGGGAGACCACACTGTAGTTGCAGCCGTTGTGTGTGCTGACGCGGCAAGTACGCTGCAGCTGTTAATGCCGGACAGAAGGGGAGTCACACCACCATATGGAAAGAAGTGTAAATGGATGGAGAAGCATAGTTTACTGTAAAGCTACGTCTTAGCTTACCTTGGCGAAAGCCAAGTATAAATCAGCATGAAGTTTTAACATCTACTCTCATGTAATGGAAATAATTTCACACAGAGTACTATTGCTGACCTTGCATAATGTTTCTTTTAAAAAGATGACTGAATAACTGGCTTTTCTTTACAAAGAACTATTGAAATAAAACTCTAAGCAAATAGAGTTTTGCAAATTTGTCTTGTGTTTTATTTTAATGTTTAATTAAACATTTTTTTTTCTTTTTCTGATGTTGGCAGTGTTGTGTAATATGGCACATGCAATGTCACAGGCCCTGTCAGGTGCAACCCTCAGGCTTTTTAGACCCTGAAATCTTCCCTTTAGTTGGCCAAAGCTCATTTCTTTTTGTGCCCTTGTCTTAGAGCTGCATTGTAACTAGTCTGGGGTTTGGGTCAGGGAATGGGGTCATGAAACACCTGTCTCCATGCAGGATCCTGTTGCATCATGCACAGATCCTGGCCATTTTGCTTTCACACTGATTTGTGATATGGAACATGGTCACACACCATCTACGAGATTTTACTCAGTCAACTGCCTTTTAAAAATATTGATATAATATTACTAATCTGGAATATTAAATATTGTAATAGTAACTTGGCTGCACATTTACATTGTAAGCCCCCTTTCTGCTCAAAAAATCCCTTCATTGAGGGCCTTGATGTGAACATGTGTATAGTCTACAGTGTATGGCACCAATCATGTAAATTAAGCCCGAGGGACTGCAAGTCATAATCGGCGGTCATCATGATTGCATTATCTTCATTAAAAATTATAATATAATATACCCTAAGTTGGCAAAAAAACAAACAAAAAAAACTAAGAGCGCTAGGTAAACTTTGCGAATGGCACGACAGAAAGCTTATCAAGTTCTCCGCATCTCCAATAGTGTAAAGGAAGCCACTCACAAATAATTTTAGGGCAATGCAAACATTTTGTGCTGTTGTTGAAGCCCGACATCGAATCGAACATTAATGTGCATTTCGAAAATAATAATAATGTATCGACACCCTCATGAGTCACGACGATCGTTTCACGAGAAAAAAATAAATAAATCTCAGAAATTTGGCTACGCTATCGCGCTGCGCTAAAGAACTTCCCTATCAGTCGCGATCTAATCCTGCTAACATGAAATAAGCCTGCTCGCGAGCAGGTTCAAGCTGTTGCTATGAAAGCAAGTCCAGGATGAGCGTCAAATCGCCAACGCAAATCGCCAACAATCAAATCCAGCTAACTGAGTTACCGACGTACGAAGAATGGGCCCCAAGAAGCATAAGCTTAGGTGAGAATTGATGAACACGGAAGTACAGAGGATAGAACAAAAGAAAACGGGTTGGGTCAGAGGTCACCCTTCTGCCGGGAACTTGAACAAAAACCTTACTTTGCTTTAGAAGGCATTTATTAACCCACTGGAGTTGGATTGTATGGATTACATTTATGATGGATAAATGACCTTATTGGAGCTTCAAAAACTCTATTCAATGCCATTACAAGGTTTGGGAAGGATATTATTTGACTGTGTTCAGCTGAAAGACGTTCAACTAAAAATTTATGTTTAAAATGAAGATAAATTGCGATAAAGATGATAAAAATGCAAAGTGACAGGTGTAATTCCCAGAGAATGCATGAATATATATATATATATTTTAATTTGAATGCAAGTCAAGTCACTTTGGATAAACCTGCCATATGTGTAAATGTAAATTCTCTTTACTGACGGGGGCAAGAGGGGATGTTAAGTAAAATAAATTGTCAAATTTATTTAAAAAACAAACAAACAAAAAAACAAACAAACAAACAAACAAAAAAACAATAGTCGCCATTTATTATAACTGTTTGAAAAAAGAATATTGACAGCATGCTTCATATATTCAGAGACTCAGTGTTACGCCCTGGTGTTATTTAATAGAGCTTCTGCATAGCATCGGCTACTTATTTTTGTCAATACTGCACACCCCAACTGCAAACACAGTTTATACAAGTACCTAACAGAAAGTCACACAGCTAAACAGGGTCAAAGTCCCATGGCATGATAAAGCTATTTTTGGTTACCTTGGAGTGGTGCAGTCCAGTGGTTTGCGGGTAGCGCGAAAAGTGATGAAGGCTGTGACAATGGAGAAGATGAACCATGTCACCAGAAACCTCCACCAATGCAGCTTAGTGGTGAAGTATAGAGGAACCACCCACATTTGGAAGAGGGTTACCAACTTTAGGGGGGAGAAAAAAAAAACTCCATTTAGATGTTATCTTCTAAAACCCATCTAGACATATCAGTGGTCATGTTTCACCTCCAAAACAAATATTATAAAATATAATATAAAATATTTTTTATCAGAACAAGGTACATAAAGTATTCAGTGACAAAAACAAAGTATTTTTTCTTCACTTTTTCTACCCACAAATTCCCATCCAAACACAACAACCCAAAATGCCAGGAAAAATAAATAAAGGGGGAGTTTCAAAAAAATATGTTAACAAGGGAGGAGTATACATAGTTCCCACATGACGTCACAACATACGGGCATTTGCCGACCCGGCGCCATTGCTGAGGGCAAAACATAAGAAGAAGCAATACGAGTTGAACGAAGTGAAATGAGTTTCGTGCTATAAAGTGAAAATGGTCATCTCCTGTTGAGTCAATGGATGATAAAATCGTGCCGGAGGTTCAGTTAAATCGGGATTTTACACTATACCCGTCATTAGACTCCATATGGATGTGAGAAGACTAAGCTTTTGTCCGAACAACGACGGAGATTATGGCTGGCGAGCATAAACAGGAAAGAAACTCACTCAAAACATGCACGAATTTGTTTGACAAAAGCATAATGTTGTGTTTTATTGCGAGTGTAAATAAATATATTGTATTGTATTGATTTTTATTTAAAGGGACCATGTGCAATTAATAACATAAATGTAAACATTTGATGCATTACACCAGAGTTAGCCTTAGGCTAATTTACATCTGCAGTCCCCCGGCACAAATAAATACAGATACATACGACACAGATTAAAATATCAATACTATTCAAGAATATTTGGCATATCAAACATAAAACATCCAACATTCTTCAAGAGCATATAACATGTACTTAATAACCTCACTGACACGCACACACGCACGCGCACACACACACACACACACACACACACACACACACACACACACACACACACACACACACACACACACACACACACACACACACACACACACTCACACACTAAAATCACAACATACAACGATATGTCCACCCACAACCCCTTCTCAACCCTATAATAAAAAGGTAAATGTGACTGAAAAATAATTTTACTTAATAATAAATTAGTGGATACATTGTTGCGAAAATTTTAAATGTTTTTTTATATTATCTTTAAAGTGCCCAAACGAATCAGATGTTTTTATATTGTCTGGAATTATATTCCATTGTATTGCAGCTTTGATAGAAAAGGCTGTCTGCCCAAATGCTGAATAGCGAAAGGGTACAGTACAGCTATATACAGAATCTAGTCTAGTGGTCCTCACAGAGCCACGGTAACAGATAAACTCACGCAAACATGTGGGGGCCAGACCTTTTAAAATTTTATAAACTGTGCATAAATTTGAGAACAATCTAAAATTTTCAAAAGTTAGTAGATTATACTTCTGAAGTATGTCACAGTGATGGTGCCTGAGTGGGTTTTTGTCAAGAATTTTGAGGCCTTGTTTGTACAGGGATTCTAAGGGCCTAATTGTTGTTTGGCTAGCCTGCCCCCAGCAGGTGATACAATATGCGATATGTGAGAAGATAAGGGCATGTAGAAAAATCTTAGCAGCCTCTATTGTTAGAGAGGATCTAATCTGTCTGTAATTTGCCAAATTGTATTTAATTATTTTTGTCATTTTCTTTATGTGTTTTTTAAAAGTCAGATTTGAATCAAGCAGCACTCCAAGATATTTAATTTCAGTCACAGTCTCAATCTGTTCACCTTTAAAGCAGATGTTTACGTCTAAGTGGTTTAGTTTAGTTTTGGAGAAGAACATGCCTTTCGTCTTACCTATATTCAAGGTAAGACAGGATTGGTCCAACCACTCGGCCACTCCAACCAAGGCGTTGGTTAATTTAGTAGCAGCTTGTTGAGCTGAAGTTGCATGAGTGTACAAGACTGTATCATCAGCATAGAGTTGTACCTCTACATCATGACAGTGCTGAGGTAAATCATTAATGTACAAACTAAATAGTAGTGGGCCTAACACAGATCCCTGAGGGACACCCGTTGTGTACCCCAAGGTGCTGGAGCGTGAGTCATTGATTTTTACACACTGCCTTCTATTGGATAGGTAAGACGAAATCCATGCTAGTGTTATATAAGTTAACACGTTGCAGTTTGAATAATGTCCTGTATGAACAAAATGACGAGGTATTAAAAACATACAAAACAACATTGCTTCCACTGTTTGATCTCACATTCCAGCATTGCAATCTCAGATTATGTCCCTAAAGATCCCGCGTATAATGTAGTTCCTCATTTATTACATTAATTAAATTGCACGCGAGTTATTTATTTTAATATTCATGCACCGAACCATGACGCCCGCAAGTACATGCATATTACAGAAATCACCGGTGACTGGGGAACATAGGAATTAAGTTGTGCAGGCTATGGCTTTTTAATAGACAGATTAGCATCATGCTACTTCGCTATGATGACTTAAGTTACTTTTCCATTGATTGCACTTGAGCAAACGTCACCAAACCAACCCCACGTCAATCTGATCGTACACCTCCAGTGATTTCCAGGCTTGGAATTTGCTTACATGTGTAAAAACTCCTCACCAATAACAGATAATTGTACACATGAAAATACTGTATCTGAGGCAAAGTTGCATAATCGGTTCTCAGTGCTTCTTTTGTTGCATAAGGATACACACCATTTATGAATGAAATTTTCGCATTGTACCTCTCTATGTCTTGTTTTAATAGTCTCTTTATAATCTATTACACTTTGTCTTTTCATGATTTGCATAACAATATAAACAGACATAAATATTTGTTTGTAAAACGACATTCTCTGATAAAACGTTGTAAACGCCTATGGTAAACACAGCGGTTTTGCCCTCAAAGATGGCGTCTCCGGGGAGGTCACGTGACAATTTTTTTGCCTGTGGGAACTATGTATATTCTTCTCGAAATGGACTTTTAAAGGGTCCAATGTTTTTTACAATGTTTTGATTGATCCCCTGTTAAAATACATTTAAAAAAATGTTTTTAGAAACCTTAGATCACTAAGCCATAATGATAATTTAGGTGGATTTCCACTCTAGAAGAATTCTCCTTCTAGCTATTAATGTTGCATTTTCTTTATTTTTAGCTATTTGAATGTCATCACCACTGACACAAAAAAGTAATTTAGAGCATGAACACATGATGCATTGCAAAGGTCACATGTTTCATCTAGATTTGGGTAAAAATTAGCCAACTTTGTTTTACTACTATGAATATGTTAGAGAACTTGGATCAGATTGAATCTTGCAGAAGATTTACTCTGCCAACAGCTTTATCCCAGGTGTGTTTATAATGATTCTTAATTCTCCTTTCCATTTTGCTTTGATCTTTTCTATTGAAATATTTTGGAACGACATGATCAAGTTGTATATTTTTCAAATTAATCTCTTAAAGGCATACTCCAGCTTTTTGGAAATAGGCTCATTTTACAACTCCCCCAAAATTAAACAGTTGGGTTTTACCGTTTTCAAATCCATTCCGCCGATTTTCTGATATTTAGAAGAATATCAGTAACCGGACAGTTTCTGGTCTCATTGAATTCCATACAGTATATATTTTTTTCCTACTATGGAAGTCAATGAGACCAGAAACTGTCTGGTTACTAATATTCTTCTAAATATCAGAAAATCGTCTGAATGGATTAGAAAACGGTAAAACTGTTTAAACTGTTTAACTCTGGGGGAGTTGTAAAATGAGCCTATTTCCAAAAAAGTGGAGTATCCCTTTAAGGTGCGAAAGGACCAATACAACTGATTATATATTTTGAGAGTCGAAATTACAACTGGACTTGAAAAACCATTCCCCAAGTCAATTATGATCTTCAGTACACAGTTTCCTGTAGGAAGGCTTTGTGTATTTAATGTCTTCAAATGTGTAAATATGTGAGTTCTTTTCACTGGTCCGTTTAAACATCTAACACTAATAATACATTCAAGATCAGTCCGTTAAACAAAGACAAACCACAGATCACAACTATCTCCCGTCCATTCCCTTTTCCATTATTCCCAGAGCTCCCGACATAACGTAGCCACAAAAAAAAGCATAAAATGTAAAATCAGGCATAAACATAAATGTATAAGTGGACCACGAGCACTATTACCAGACACAGTGCCTCTAATAAAACTGTAAGGGCAAAAAAAAGAGAGAAAAGAAAGTTCTAGGCCAATCAACGGTAAAGTTGTTCAACAATAATACTGAAGAACCTGTTTATTTAGCTAAATACAGTGCATTGTCTAATAGGCCTACAGCAGACCTATCACTTAAAGTGTTTTAAATCTGATATTAAATGTAGGATCTATAACATACTAAATTGACTATTGCAATGCCATATTTTCATAATCTATGTTGTACATCCTTCTGTTTGACGTTTTTAAAAGCAGTGCGCTTTCTGGCCAGATCAGCGGAGATGTCAGGATGGATCCTCAAAGTAGTTTTTTTTGCCTCATGTTATCTTGTACATCTAAATGCTGTTTCCTTGTCCTGAAATTTGCGAAAACAGACAACCAGTGGGCAAAGAGGTTGACCTTCCTGTGGTTTTGGTACTTATATCTTTAAACAATATAAATACAAGTAACATATGGTAATAATAAATAAACCAATATAAAATAAAAATTCACATTTACATAATATTGAATAAAACAATATTGTATCAAACAATGTAATAATACAGGAGATTAATAGAGATTACTACCAGGGTAATCTAATATCAACATGGCTACAGGATCCCATGCTTTGTCTGCTTGAACCAGTCGTGTAAGTTATCTGGTCATTGTACTAGTTATGCAGCTCTTAGCTTGGCAAGTTTGGTATTTCGTTACCACAACGTCTTAGCTACGCAGCGTTGAGTAAACTTATGAAAGAGAACGTCTCTGGTTACTGGTGTAACCCATGTTCTCTGAATAGGGAACGAGATGCTGAGACGCGAGCGTCAAGGCGGCACAAAT